GAGCTATTTTGGTAGTATGACAAACCCGGAAGTTTAAAAACGTCACAAAATATAAAACCGGTTTTGCAAGTTCTCAACGGCAACGTCAGCATGGAAGTGAGATTTGTATCGCGTGCCACCAGAGGTTCTCTTCGCCTCGCGTAAAATAAATATACGAGCGGGAATAAGGCGAAAGATACAGAACCTCTGGCAACCAGGGTACAGAAAGTGGCGCATATACTTAATTGCGCTCGTTTTTTTAGCAAATCCATAATATGCATGTTGTCGCATAGGCGTCCCTATTGGAAAGCAAAATTGAAAGATCTTCACGTGAAGATACTAAAGATAAGAAATTTCGTTTACACTTCAACGTGTACAATGGAAATCAATTTTCTTGTTGTAAAAAACCGTTTCCAACACTGATCTCTAGCCTTCCAAAGGCATGATACTAGAGGCAATTTTGCCTAGTGTTGAGCTGTATATCGGGCAAAGCAGCTGAAGTCATCTGAAGTAAAGGTAGAAAAGTTGACGAATTCCATATAACGGATTGATTGGCAAGCACGTCCTTTTGTCGGACAAGAAGATCTAAACACCCCCAGAATATATAGCTAGAGTATACTTTTAACATCCTGAAGGTGCTAATAGTAAATTTCTGCAGTTTAGGTATCGCTTGCTCGCATATTAAATTACACTGGTAGGATAAATAAATTTACAGGAAATTTAATCCATGAAAATTAATTACTCTATAAGGTTTACAGTATCTTACTCTCAGAACGTCATATCCATTCCTCGTAGCTCCTTTCAGCGCGTCCATGAACTCTTCTGGATCACCAGATTCCAAACCAGTATACATACCACCCACAACAATTATTCGTGGCTTTCTTTCGCATTCCATCATTTCTTAAAAAAAACTTGGATTTCAGAGTCATTTCCGAATTGTAGCGATAGCTAGAGATAATACCAGGATGAAAAAATAGTTCAGAGACTGGGTCGTTAAAAACCGACCAATGAATTTAGGTTTGTAAATAAATTATCTTTAAATTTTAGCCACTTTTATTGTGACTAAGCTTTTTTTAGAAACCGGACCCAGATTTGTTCGAAAGTTACATATCTATTTTCGAGGTTTTGTGTTGTTTGTCTTACCGTACGTGTAACATTAATTTTCGCGTTTCTGTCAACGTGATTGTTGCATCAATGGTGGTTTATTCCAAAATTATGTTTCATAAGAGCAAAATAGAATAACAATCAGTGAATTATGAGGTTGCCAGAATGACACTGCTAAAAATCTCTACTGAAAGCTGCCGGAGCGAAACGATGAAACGGCAATTAAAATTTGACGTCTTACAGAATTATTTCCTTATAGTTATTGTAGATTGCAAACTGTTTGACAAGGATGCAGCAAAAGGCCCTCTTAAATAGGCATTTTCTCACGACTGTGTTACTTTAATTTTGTGTGTTTGTGATAATTATATTATGATATCACTTATATATCAGCATGAAATATGTGCACCCATACTGTGAGCGTTTGCGATATTTCTGGAAGACAATTAGTTAGTTCACTGGAAGTCTTTGTCCACAGAAAGTGAAACATAATTTATGACAGATTTATACATGTTTATTTTCAAACTTTAAACTAAATCCTATCTAATTTATACTGTACTCTAACTTTTTCTTTTTCATATAGGCTAGAGCTTCATTTTGAAATAATACTTTTGAAATATATTACCTGCAGGTACAGATATTCCTTCTTGGTTTGGATTTCCTTGTGACGGATTTTTCGCCATTTGCTTACTAAAAAAGAAACGAATAATTATATTATATTGAATAATGATATCAGAAGAAAACTAATGAAAACGAATGACTAAAAAATTTCATACAACAAGGGTCTACAACCATGCAACGTGTGCATAGTTTCATTGTTTATGATGAGAAAATGTGTCCAAGCTATAGGCTTAATTAAATCCCGGACTTATCGCGTTAATAGAAGCTGGTCTCAAAAGGTTGCATTGAAGTGAGACATGAGACTTTAATAATGCTTATTAAATGTGCTGTATGTGATATTAAAGTACTAATCAGTCACTTGAAACAATTTGTAAATACACATATACTTAACTTGTTATGAATACTTGAATAGTCACCAACACTTGCACTAGAGATCTTCTTAGATTGCCAGCTTGACAGTTTGTGGTGTACGAAAGTTACGTGTTTGCATACATATAAATAAAATGGAATATTATGGAAATAAGTCCTTTTGTTTTCACTCTTCATTGACTTTCCGCCTACTCTCCATCTGCATGACACTCGTGCAATTAACCAATTTTAATTATTGTCTCTTTAAATACCCACACTATTTTCTGAGCATGAGGACATATAAGGTAATATCTGAATCCTCCTCACCGAGTGGTTAAAGTAGCTAAGTCATGGAACTTCGCCATTCGTCCGTGACTAAGTCTAAGCTGTTATTACAATTTTAGAGGTCGCTAGGCAGGCTGGCAGGAAACTTTCATGACACATGATTTTCATAAAGGATCTCAAGAAATCAAAATGCATGCAAGCAATACTCATACAAGCAATATTCAAAGTGATTATTAAAAATAATCACCGCCGTACATGAAAGAAAACCGACTCAATCAAGAATTAAAACAAGTTAAAGGCTATAGCAGGTTAAAATTAAGGGTTAGCTTGACGTAACGATCACTACGAATATTACCTGCAGGTACAGATGTTCCTTCTTGGTTTGGATTTCCTTGTGATGGATTTTTCGCCATTTGCTTACTAAGAAAGAAACGAATAATTATATTATATTGAATAATGATATCTGAAGAAAACATGAAAACGAATGACTAAAAAATTTCATACAACAAGGGTCTACAACCAACGTGTGCATAGTTTCATTGTTTATGATGAGAAAATGTGTCCCAGCTATAGGCATTTAAGCCAATAGCTGGGACACATTTTCTCATCATAAACAATGAAACTATGCACACGTTGGTTGTAGACCCTTGTTGTATGAAATTTTTTAGTCATTCGTTTTCATTTAAAAATCCCGGACTTATCGCTTTAATAGAAGCTGGTCTCAGAAGGTTGCATTGAAGTGAAACATGAGACTTTAATAATGACATGAGACTTTAATAAAAATATGTAATTCAAATGGACCTATTCTCTAATGAACAAAATTTTGATCTAGACAAGTCTAGACAAAATTCATCACAGCTTGAAAGAGCATCACAAAATTAGTAATATTCCGAAGTTTCATTGCAAAATGTTGTAAAATGCGGATAATATAGCCCTGCGAAGTTTGCCGTTTTTCAGTCATTCTGTATTACGCACGGGAAATTGATACCGCTAGCTTTCTGAAAAAGTAACGCGAACCTGCGTTCAGTGTTGGCGTAATTACGAATATCGTCCCCTTTCCTTACTTATAGTTGTGTCAAAAATTTGCGAGAAGGTCCTTTGAAACTTTGAACGTTTTGGTTGATGATATCATATTGGAAGCTATTAGGCCGTATTCTCTGTCTTGAAAAGTCGCTCGAAAAAAAAATTTTTGTCCAACCTCGGGCACTAATTTTAATTTACATAATACTGTAGATTTGTGTACGCTAAATTCGATTTCAGTTGTTGTCACGCGTACTTACCTGCAGTTTTTTAGTATTTCGTGATCAAACTTCAAGAAATTTCACTCTTTGGAATTCATTATTTATTAATATTAACTATTACGCTAGTTTCAGTCCCTCGACATGGCTAGTCGTGCTCGACTTTTCGCTCCTTATTTTAAAAAAATAATTGAAATCAGCGTTGTAGAGAAAAAAAACATAAATATCCTACAAGCTGAAGAGCTTGGTGAGAATCAGTTCTCTGAATTATGCCAAAACAACCTATTTACTGACAATCCAGATGTTTTCACGAAAATAAAGAAAAATAAGTTGCAAACTTTTCCTTCTAAAAAACTGAAAGTGAAGGGCAGCCAAGGCCGCGAAGTATTAATAAAGACAAGCAGAGATATCTTTGCTAGATTACTGATTTTGTCAAAAACTCGCGACATCAACCTGAAAGAGTTGCTCTCGTATAGCCTGAGTGATTATCCGCTTTCGTTTCTGTACATGTTAATGGAGGTCTAGTGAAGACAGCAAAAGCCAAAATGTTCGAAATTTTAGAAGGTATGGCTCTTAACAGTGGCGGAAATTCACTTCTTCCAGTGGGGGGGCCTTCTAAATTTCCGACAAAACTTTCAAAGTTTTTAGCCCTTTTATAGGTCAAAATTTCCGAAAATTCGTCATTTTCCACGAAAGTGGGGGGGGGGGGCGCCCCACCGAGACTTCCGTCACTGCCTCTTAATCCAGTTATACTATATCTGCCTCTTAATCCAGACATAGGAGAACGTAATGCACTTATCATCCACGCAATGGCTGTTATACAAATGATGAACGGCAAGTGGAAAACATTTGCAGATTCCTTATTTAGCCATTTGGTGAAGCTACAATCTTGGACATAACTGGATGAGACTATTTTCCCCCCATAGAAAATTCGCGTATTTTTATGATAAACTCCATGTTGAATCATGTTGCCATTCTTAAACCCCCGTTCCCCCAACTCAATGTTGAGCTTGTATCATGGTATATTACCAAAAGTTGTTTCGGCGTTGTTCACAACATTGAACTGGGGGGAGGAGGGGGGGGGGACAAAGTTTGTTTTGTCAATGTTCAATAACTTTGTAATATTAGCTGAAATGGTCTCAAGGGTTTTGTCCAAGATTGTCTGAAGCACACTGCATTTAATTGTGCATTATAACTCAATCTTTTTTAATTTTCTTCCACCCCAGTAGTCTGAAAGACGGATATACACGTTACTTCTTGTTTTTCGAGCAATATATATATTCGTTTGCATGAAAAGTGAGCAAAATAATGCCTATTCGAACTTGTCACATCCTAAAATATACGCATGAAACGCATGAATTTTTCTTGTTGTTTCATCTAAAATATATAGTTTTCTACTGCCAGAAGCGAGTAATATCATGTTACTAGGGCATAGAGGTCGAGACAAATGCATTGGGATTTAATTCAATTATGTAAATATCACGTTCAAGTGTTGCTGTGTATACTAGGTATTTTTTGTAAGATGACGTCATTTGTTCTATAGGTTATCAGCCTCAAACTTGCTTTTAAAACTTATAATTTAACCCGAAATTTTTTATATGACGGTTAACCAAGTATACTCTTTATCGTGGTTTGATAAAAGAACGGTAAACAGGCCATTAGAACGGTAAACGGCGACTCCAATTTAAAACAATGACTAGACCTATCATTTACTATAATATCTTGCTGCTATCCCCGTTTACCGTCAATATCACATCAAATCTTTTCGTTAATCGTTTGAAATGTTCTTATATATTATTATAAAAGGTTTATGCTCCAAAAGTCATGGCGATATACTCGTATTTCTTTACTATGGCCAATTTGAACATTGTACAGGCGACTCTTTGTTCCTCGTGGGGGGTCGCCATACTATAATAACTTGTGAAAAGTGCCGATTGCCTATATGAAAATAGCTGTGTAGAAAACGTTTAGGATGTCCATGATTCCATTTCTTTTGAAACTCTGTAGCTATGTTCTGTAGTAGTAGCTAATTGGTTCAAATGGACCAGGGAACGTTCGCACGTTAGAGTGAATAGGCGTTTTCTGAGCAAACCATGTTATCAAGTTTGACCAATTCGATTACTTTTAGTGTTGGATATGTTTTTACATTCACTATACGAAGCTTTCAATGATGATATGGAATAAGGTAGAAATCAAGTTTACCAAAAATCCAATAAATAATTTACTTTCATCCAGACGTGTATTATGTCCTCCTAATTAATTTCCCTTTACTTACAATATAAATATAGATTTTGCATCGCCTGGAACGATTGCTAATATGGATAAAAATTTCGGTTACCTACAGTCCTTTCAGTGTACCATATATTTAATAATTTTTCCTCCTTCGCAACACTAACTTATCTGCCTTTCTAACCATAACTCTCAAACAATTGGTATGCTTGTAAAATTCCCATATTCAGACAATCTTGGACATAACTGGTTGAGACTATTTTCCCCCCATAGAAAATTCGCGTATTTTTACGATAAACTCCATGTTGAATCATGTTGCCATTCTTAAACCCCCGCTCCCCCAACTCAATGTTGAGCTTGTATCATGGTATATTACCAAAAGTTGTTTCGGCGTTGTTCACAACATTGAACTGGGGGGAGGAGGGGGGGGGGACAAAGTTTGTTTTGTCAATGTTCAATAACTTTGTAATATTAGCTGAAATGGTCTCAAGGGTTTTGTCCAAGATTGTCTGAAGCACACTTAATTTAATTGTGCATTATAACTCAATCTTTTTTAATTTTCTTCCACTCCAGTAGTCTGAAAGACGGATATACACGTTACTTCTTGTTTTTCGAGCAATATATATATATTCGTTTGCATGAAAAGTGAGCAAAATAATGCCTATTCGAACTTGTCACATGCTAAAATATACGCATGAAACGCATGAATTTTTCTTGTTGTTTCATCTAAAATATATAGTTTTCTACTGCCAGAAGCGAGTAATATCATGTTACTAGGGCATAGAGGTCGAGACAAATGCATTGGGATTTAATTCAATTATGTAAATATCACGTTCAAGTGTTGCTGTGTATACTAGGTATTTTTTGTAAGATGACGTCATTTGTTCTATAGGTTATCAGCCTCAAACTTGCTTTTAAAACTTATAATTTAACCCGAAATTTTTTATATGACGGTTAACCAAGTGTAAT